CACCGATCTGCTAGCTTTAAGTTGGGTCGTACAGGCACCTGTTGAAGTTCATCTCAGCAATTTGACACAGAATTTTAATGGCACAATTTGGTGAGGGGAGGCACATGCCCCTAGTCCATTTTTCTAAACTAAAAAGCTGCAGATATTGTGGCCTTTCTCCAGACAGGGATTGCTCCAGCCTCTGGATCATTTGGGCAGCCTTTTCCTGTACCTTCTAAATAAATAAACATTCTCCAGTGTCCTCTCTGAGGTGCAGTTATGCAAACTCTGCACTCTTTTCCAAATGCGGTTGAACCACAGACTTATGTAAACGCTTTTCAATATGAGTGATTTTAATTTTGATCCCTTTCCCAGAGACCCACAGCATGGAGCCTGCCTTTTCCCGGCAGCCACACATAGGACTAATGTTATCATCACAGCCCCAAATCCCTTTTCCTTGCCAGTTGATTCAGGCCCCTTGAATGTATTTGTGAAATCAGTTGTTTTGTTTGTTTGTTTGTTTGTTTGTTTGGCCCATGGTGACTTTCTCTGCAGTTGCACGAAGCCATATGTTTGCCATTAGGTGCCATTCATTTTTCCTATGTGGAGAGATTCTTTAGCCCTCCCTCTGGTTTGCAAAGGGGCAGCTCCAGCCTTTTGCAGCCTTGTGCCCCCAGTGACCTGGTAGTGGGACTCAGTCCTTCAGTCTCTGACAGCAGCAGGGCTTTGCCTAAGACGACTGCCTCGTGTGCATTTGCTCCCACCCTGACCTTGTGCGTGCATTGCTGTCTCAGCAGAAAAAGAACGCGAGAAGGCCAAAGACAGATATGTCCGGAGCCTCTGGAAACTCTATTCCCTCCACAACCAGTATGTGTTGGCGCTCAAGGCGGCCGAGGTGCAACATTTGGCCCACTATCAGAGGACCCTGCCAGGCATGTTGGAGTCCTTGCACTGCCTGCTTGAGGAGATGGCCTACCTCACGTAAGATGGGCTGCTGAAGAGCAGCCGCAAGGGATCCCGTCAGGGCTGGAGGTCAGGTGGTTTGGGTTTGGGTTCTGCGCCTCCCTTGGAAGCACCGGGGGGGCCACCTGTCCAGCGTCCCGTTTCTGTGCCGACAGAAAGGTGACCTTCCAGGAATATGCCAGCATCACCAGCCTGGTGCAGGAGGAGATGGTGACCGTGCATCAAGCCATGGGCAGAGCCATCGAGCGCCTCCAACCGGCCACGGAATACCAAGGCTTCATTCCTCTGTGCAGGTACCGTCCGCAGGGCTCTTTCTCCTCACCCAGGCAATCGCTACGTAGATTTGAGATGCTTGGTGGCTTGGAGTCTCCAGACAAGCGTTTGCATCACACACACACACCCGGGGCCCTGTCTTTCCAGGTGCGGAGGAGAATCCCCGGCTGTGGTCACTTTTGACGAGAGTCTGCTGGAGGAGATAGAGAACGAAGGCCTGAAAGCAGGAGAGCTCCAGCTGAATGAGCTGACCTTGGAGAGCATGCAGCACACGTGAGCAACGGGAAAAGGGGCTGCCTTGTGGGCTGAGAGAGGAGCAAAGCCAGCTTGGCCCACTGTCGTTGTGCGGCCGGGGAAAGGAAGCCTGCCGTTGCCCCTTCCGTTCAGTGGATGTGTCTGTGAACTCTGCAGAGGCCGTCTCTCATTCTCTCTTTTTCTCTCTTCCCCAGCCTGACTACACTCGAGGAGGAGCTGATCAGTGCCACGGAGAGCACACACGCCCATCTACAGCGGGTTGAGGTTCTGAAGGATGAAATCCGGAAGGAAGAAGCAGTGGGCATGCCTGGAGAACGGTGAGGCCGGAGGCTCACCTGGGAGAGGGAGACGAGAACTGGGGCAGTTCAGGCTGAAGGAACCCCAAAAGGAGATGCAAAGGGAAGCGGGCAGGGGGGAGAAGGAAGGGAGCAATGTGCATGGGTTAGCTTTTCCCAACGGGCTTCTTCGCCCCCACACAAGATCTTGGTGCAGACAAGCAGGCTTATAGAAAAAAGAAACCTACCCATTCATACCTACGGATGCTTTGCCCCCAACCTGATTATGTGTGGGATCTAATGAGAGGAGACCGCTGGCTGGATCCAAAGGTGCCCAAAGGCAAAGATTCCTTACTTCTGGCATAGGCTTCGTGAAGTCTTACGTTGTGTTGCTAAATGATCTAATCACCTGCACCCGCAATGGTGCAGAGTATTCTAACCGGCGGGAAGGTGGGGAAGAGGAGGGCCTGCCTTCACGGGCATACGTACACGGGCACAGCTGTGATGAGGGCACCGGCCAGGATGTGACCCTTCCAGCCTCATCAGGCACATCTGTGCCCACCATGTCTTTCTCTTTGACAGCATCCAGCTGCTGGGGAAACGCCAGGCCTTGCACGAAGCCCAGCACCTCTGCCACCTGGCCCAAGGCACTCAGGAGAAGCTGCAGGCCCAGCGGGATTTGCTGTGGCACAAGCTGGACGCGCTGGGAGCTCAAGACCCACCACCCGCCCCGGCCCTGCAGGACGACAGCCAGTCCCTGTCTTCTGGGGTGTGTGGAGGCCCTGCGTGTATCTCAGTGCGGGGAGGGAGGGAGGGTGAGGAACCAGCCCCCCCCAGCTGCAGCTGGACACGGCCACAAGCTAAGAAGGGAAGACTGATGTCTGTGGCTGCAGACCCATTGCATCGTTCAGAGCGCAAGCCTCACTTCTCAACTGCAGCCACCATTGGCCCTGACACAGCGACCCTGGCATAGTTTTTCACTTGTATTCTGGCCAAGGCATCCTCTACCCAAGCGGTCCCTCATGCCAGCTTCGGTTCAACGCTTGTTAGGGAAGGAGGGAGGGAGGGATATGCCGTGGGACAGACTCCAGGGCTCTGGGGCCCTCACGAAATGTCTTTTTCTTGCTGCTGGGCCTCTTGGAGGGCCAGAGCCTTGGCCTTCGGGCCTGCGGTTGAGCCGGCGCTTTCAAGCCCAGCCGGCCTTGCGGGCGTTTACCGCTGCTCTGCTGTCCTTTCTTTCTCTCACAGGAGCAGGAACGCGAGGGAGGTCGGACCCCAGCCTTGGAGGTCTTGAAGCAGCATTTCATTGTCATCTTCCGTCCGCGGGTCACGGTGAGGGCCCCACACCTTGCTGAGACACCCCTGCCCAACTGTATTTTTAAATTTTATTTATTTATTTTATTAGATTTATACGCCACCCATCTACACCAATGGTCTACTCTATATCCCATCACGACTAACCAGGCCCTGCCTGTAGGATAGTGGCCAATCTGGAAGGGCAGGTGCTAATCGCAGCAGCTCCTGCGCCCTCACAAAGAGAGTCTAAAAGTGCAGGCGGAGGGATTGGTCCATGTCAATAAATGAGCAGCAGGCCTTCTGTAAAGTGAATGGCTCTTAATTGCACATTGAAAGCCAAATGGTCTTCAAATATGTTTCGTTACAATAGGGATGGCTTGCAAGAAGTACCTGTTCCTCAGAATTGTAGCTAAGCTGAAAGGGACCAAGGGAGGGGGGGTAAAGGACCTCGCAGTGCCTGCTGTTCAGAAAGTCCGGGGGCTTCAGCCCCATGAGTCCTGTTTTCATGGATGGCCATGCTTACGCCCTTTGGGAAACGTACCCGTCGGAGGGCCCGGTGGTCTGTCTGCATGGCCCTTTCCTGTCTCTATCCTCAGCTGCCGCCCCCCGTCACCCTCCTGCCTGAGGTGCAGAAGCCGCTGGGCCAGCAAAGCTGGTATCACGGCGCCATTCCCCGCGCGGAGGTCCAGCAGCTGCTGCAGAGCGACGGAGACTTCCTGGTGCGCGAGAGCCAGGGCAAGCAAGAGTACGTCCTCTCCGTCCTGTGGGACCAGCAGCCTCGCCATTTCATCCTTCAAGCGGCGGACGTGAGTGGCCCGTGAGGGTGGGAGAAGCAGCCGACGGGGTGGTGGTGGTGGCGGCGCTGTTGCTGCGGCTCTTTGGGGAACGGTCAGGCCCCCCACATCCCCCAGCCACCTTGCTGGTGCCCCCACTGATCCAGGACAGAGGTGGCCTGCCTGCTTTTCTGAACCCCCCCCCCCCCCCCGTTTTAAAAGCCTTCCAGTCTGTTAGAGCAGAGGTGGGAAACCTTCTGCTTCTCTGGGGGCACAAGAAGACACCCGAGACCTTGGTGGGCCAAATCCATTCCTGCACTCACCCCAAAAATATATTTCTTGTTTTCCTTTTTTTTTTTTAACTGAAAAGGTCCCCTTTTTACTTCTAGTACTAAATGTTTTTAAAAATTACAAATTGGGACATGGGCAGGCAGAGGGGCTTATAGGGCCTCAAAAATGGCAAAAAGAGACTTTCTGAGCAAAAGGGTTTAATTTTTTTAATGGGAGTTCTGAGGGTCAGGAGATGTGGGGCTGCCTATGGGCTGAATGAAGAGCTTTAGTTTTGGGGAAAAGCAAGTAATTGAGCTACAGAGCTTGTATCTAGGTTATAGGATGCTCTCTAGGAAAGAGGGGTAGCTCCCTGCTCCCTGAGAAGGATGCCTGACTTTCCCAGGATTAAGGGTTAATCCCAGAATGAAGCCAGAAAATCAGTGACAAGCATTTCCAGACTCATCTGGGGTTCTAGTTATACGTATTTTCTTCGTTGCAATAATTCCAAGCAATGGTTGTTGTGGGTTTTTCGGGCTTCTTCAAAGCAACTTCAAACTTACCTATTTTTGTACAAGTTTTATTTTACATAGCTTCTCAATTCCATAATTCAAAATTAGCAAATCCAAAGTACTGAAATACTGAAAACAATCATATAGTTGTGAAGAAGAAGAAGAAAAAATCATGCAATTTATAAAAAGCCACAGGTTTAAAATCTTGATTTGTAAGCAAATACTTTAAAATTACAAGAGCATGTTTTAACAGCAAAGGAACAATGAGAATGTTTCAAATACATTCCAAAAATTGAAATAGATTACAGCCTAATAATAAGGCATATTAAAACAGCAAAAGACAGAAAGTATATCTGTAAAGGTAAATTTTGAAAATATATAAAGCAAAAAGGCATTACTTGGCTCTAAGCATGTTTAAGAAAAACACAAATAGAAAAACATATTTTCACCTAGCCATATGTAGAATCCACTGTTGGTTTTCAGTGCCAGGCTATTGCCTTTTCGCTGCTCTAAGAGCATTTGCCAGGCATCAGTTCCATTCTCGGTCTCACACTCCCTCTTCTTCCTTGGATAGGATGTCTTTCCATTAAGTAGCAGTGTGTGTCTCCCATCACGTCTCATAACAAGGTGTATTTCCACCCGATATTTATAGTCCAACCAAACCAAAACAACCGGCCTTATTAGGAAGGCCAGGATGTCTCTGGTATAGGACATTGCTATGAAAGCCATCTGGTGTTAGAGCTTATCGGCACTATAGCTTATCATCACTGTGTTGTGATGTGTTCTGGCCCTCCTGTGAAGGGCAAGTAATGTATAGCAATCCGCTAGAAGACTGATCCTCTAGAGTGTTCTGGCCCTCCTGTGAAGGGCAAGTATAGCAATCCGCTGGAAGATTGATCCTCTAGGGTAGCCAAGGAGTGTGGGTCATATTAATGCTGGTAGATGGTGCCACAGGATAACATATAATCCTATGCCCATTTTGAAAACACTTATTATTAATTATGAGGCTAAAGCCTTATAAAACAAATGACACATTTCTTTCTCTTCTCTACTTGCTTGTTATTGCACACGCAGCTTAAAATAACATTAATCTTGTTCCCCTTTTACATGATTCTGCAAATGCTTCTATTGCACAATATATTGTTATTCTCATTTACTCAACACAGGTTTTTGCCCATTTTGAAAACACTTATTATTAATTATGAGGCTAAAGCCTTATAAAACAAATGACACATTTCTTTCTCTTCTCTACTTGCTTGTTATTGCACACGCAGCTTAAAATAACATTAATCTTGTTCCCCTTTTACATGATTCTGCAAATGCTTCTATTGCACAATATATTGTTATTCTCATTTACTCAGCACTGGTTTCCACATCTAGTTTGTGGTATTTCTTTGTCAATTAATATTATAGGTAAAATACAAAATAAGCAGCATTTCAAAATGCACTTCACTTTTTCCTCTTTGTTTCACATCACATAATTGTTTTATTGTTTACTCTCTTTTTTTTGCAAAAACCGTCATGAAACTGAATGAGTTGCTTCTGCCTTGTTATCTTATCTGTAGCTTTGTTCGTAAACAAGCTGTACTGTAACATAAATTGTCTCCCAAGTTGTCGTTTTTCATTTGTACTTTCACATTTAATGAATCTCCAAAGCACCTTTTAAAAAGCAGTTTTCATTTTTAGGGCACCCCTCTTCACCCCATAAACTAATTTTTGTAAACTGATATGAAGGCCAACTGACGGCTGGGTGGGCCAACCAAGCCTTTTAAATTCATTTCCCCCCTAGAAATCCATGTGATCAACCTCCAGTAACAGAGCTGTAACTAGCAATTTTGGCACCTGGGGCTTTGGTGCCATCCTAATAAGCTTGGGTCGCATGAAATTGATGTACGTGGGGAGAGAACATAGGAATCAAGAGTCTGAGAGCACAATAGCCACATATATATGGCACCCTGCCTTATGGCCAGCTCTGCCCAATAGGATAGGTAGCAGCTTAAGAAAAATAATCCCCCCACCTTTTCCCACTCCCATGCCCTCCTGCCTCCTTAATATGCCCATCTCGCTTGTGACCCCTTGCGCCGGCTATAACGGAGTGCCCTTCTTTCACCTGATGGTGGATGGCAGAAGAGCAGGGGGTCATACCTACTCCTCAAGAAGCTGTGTACAATATTTGGGGTGAGAGTTTGTGCCGACCACCGATGTGCTGGGCTCTGAGGCAGAGGGGCTTTGCAAGAGCAGCTCGAACAGCAGGGGCAGTGGTTGGAGATGAAGGCCTGGTCTTTCCCAAGAGACGGCCCCCTCCCCTTCCTGGGAGAACAATGCTCTTTCCTATGCCGTGAGGGAGTGTGTCGGAGCAGCAAACTGGGGGATTGGGAAGGGAGTCGTGTGTGGTCTGCTTCTCCCCCTTCCCTTTCCTCACCTTTATGTGAGGGCTCTCCCCTGGCACACCCAGTTGTATGTACCAGATCTGGGTATGGAGTGCCACAAGGTGATGTGGCTGTAAAGTGATATAAGAGGTGGCATGCTCCCCAGCTGCCACAACTCTCCCTATTTTGACCATTCCAACAGAGCATCTTCATTAGAGGATCGGTTCTGTGGGCACAGCTATTCTGCTGTGGTCTTTTGCTAGCATGTCTCTCATTGTAGTGGCATTATTGTCTGTTGTTTGGGCTAGAAAGGCTTTCCATCATATGTTGTAGCCCCTCAACTACAGGGTTGGAGCCTAAGACTCTCTTTCATGCTCCTAACTCCAGGTTTGATAACTTTCTCTGGTGTGAATAAGACGTTCTCCCAGATGGAGGACAGGCACCAGTGATCAAGATGAAACATCTCCCTTTCAGATTTTTCCACCAGTCGGGGACATTTGAAAGAGTCACCTTTCATTTGTTGTTGTTGTTTAGTCATTAAGTTGTGTCTGACTCTTTGTGACCTCATGGACCAGAGCACGCCAGGCCCTCCTATCTTCCACTGCCTCCTGGAGTTGTATCAAATTCATGTTGGTCGCTTTGATGATACTGTCCATCCATCTCATCATCTGTCATCCCCTTCTCCTCTTGCCTTCACACTTTCCCAACATCAGGGTCTTTTCCAGGGAGTCTTCTCTTCTCATGAGATGGTCAAAGTATTGGAGCCTCAGCTTCAGGATCTGTCCTTCCAGTGAGCACTCAGGGTTGATTTCCTTCAGAATGGATAGGTTTGTTCTCCTTGCAGTCCAAGGGACTCTCAAGAGCCTCCTCCAGCACCACAATTCAAAAGCATCAATTTTTTGGTGGTCAGCCTTCTTTATGGTCCAGCTCTCACTTCCATACATCGCTACTGGAAAAACCATAGCTTTGACTATGCGGACCTTTGTCGGCAAGGTGATGTCTCTGCTTTATAAGAAGCTGTCTAGGTTTGTCATCACTTTCCTTCCAAGAAGCAGCTGTATTTTAATTTTGTGGCTGCTGTCACCATCTGCAGTGATCATGGAGCCCAGGCAAGTACAATCTGTCACTGCCTCCACATCTTCCCCTTCTATTTTCCAGGAGGCGATGGGACCTGTGTCCATGATCTTAGGGTTTTTTTTGATGTTGAGCTTCAGACCATTTTTTGCACTCTCCTCTTTCACCCTAATTAAGAGATTCTTTAATTCCTCCTCACTTTCTGCCATCAGAGTGGTATCATATGCATACTGGAGGTTGTTGATATTTCTTCCGGCAATCACCTTTACTAGGGTCATGTGAAAGTATCCTAATACTGTAGCACTGATATCTTCTTGAATGAGTCACCGAATGATTCCATTAGTCTTTTTGCATCTGTGCACTAATGTAGAAAGGATAGAGGATAAACAAAATGAATGTATCAGGGTTTTTGGTTAGTTTGTTTGTTTTTAACATCTTAGCCCCTTCCCATAACAGACATGCCAGAGTGGCAACCGCTTGCCTTTATACTGCTCCAGATCAATCTTGTGATTTCCCTCCCCCCCTCCCCCCAGAACCTATATCGTTTGGAAGGGGAAGCTTTCCCCACCATCCCACTGTTGATCGACCATTTCGTGAAGACCAAGCAGCCCATCACTAAGAAGAGTGGCATCATCTTGGCAAAGCCCATTGAGAAGGTACTGCTGACAACCCGACCCTCCACTGCCATTGGGCTGGGCTGGGCAAAGGAGGAGGATTGTGTGATAGATTCTGCCCTAAAAAACTGGCTCCTTTTGTTCCAGGACAAATGGGTGCTGGACCACGAGGATGTTCTGCTGGGGGAACGTATAGGGCAGGTGAGTGAAACGCCGGGATGATGGAGGTGGAGGGCAGAGAGTGGCCAGGGAGCACCCAAGGGACTCTGCCCTCTTGCGATGGGACCCACAATACAGGACTGGTGGCACTGGTGGTGCTCTGTGCATTGTGCTCTAGTGGTCAAGATGTGCAACAGCCTTGGGGAACTGGCCAACTCTCAGCTGTATTTGCTCACCTGCTGCTAAGGAAAGCAGAGCATTATTCTGTTTCTGATCCGTTTTAGGCCCTCTCAAGTAGGAAGAAGAGCGGGCCTTGGGAGGCTCAGCTTGAGGACAGCCTGTTAACATTTAAAGTCACAGCAGAAGGTTTTTCCTTACGAAGGTTTGGACCAGAAGTTCTATCGTAGTAAGGCACACAGGAAGATACCGGATATAAGTGCAGAAAATATTTACTTACTGTACATATTTACATAATGCATTCAGCAGTCAAACGGACAGAACGTAAGCATGACAGTCAAAATAGAAGTGTGAAGGAGAACGTAAGCATGACAGTCAAAATAGAAGCGTGAAATTCACACAAACCAGGCTCTTAATTTATACTACAGTACCATGTTTCCCCAAAAATAAGACAGGGTCTTATACTGTATTAATTTTTGCTCCAAAAATGCATTCGGGCTTATTTTCAGGGGATGTTTAATTTTTTCCATGTACAACGATCTACATTTATTCAAATAGAGTTGTGACATCTTCTTCTGGCTGCTGCACAAGGGTGGAGGGCAGGGTTTCACTTAACTGGGGCTTATTCTTGGGGTAGGTCTTATATTACAAGCTTCCTGAAAAATCGTACTAGGGCTTATTTTTGGGGTTAGGTCTTATTTTCAGGGAAACAAGGTACCTCTAACCAATCAGATTAGTGGTTCACCTCATGGTAGTTAATTCCACAGGGCTGTGTCCTTCTTGTCACATAGGCAGTGACTAAATAACTCCGCCTGCACTAACCAATTCTTAATTCCATTTCTGATTCTTAAAGACCTAACAGAGTCCCGGGGCTTCCTCCTACTCCTTCACTTGAATGGGAGGCAGCCAGAGCTATTTTCACTGGCTGTCTAGCCCCTGCTGTTGGCAAGTCTTGGCTAGTCCCCCACCACCACTGGTCCTCTATCATCCCACTCTTTGTGCATGTTTGCCGCACAAATTAAATTCCAAGGCACCAACAGCATCAGGGGGTCCCCAGAAATTCTTAGTAAGGCCCTGGCTCTCTCACTGCGTCTGTTTCCATGCAGTCAACCAGGAGTAAGAAAAGCAGGCTGCGCCATTGGCCTGCTTCCTTTCCCTCCTCTGCCTTTGACTTATTTCCTCCAGGGCAACTTTGGAGAGGTATTCAGTGGTCGCCTGCGTTATGACAACACTCCTGTGGCTGTCAAGTCCTGCCGTGAAACTCTCCCTCCAGAACTGAAGGCCAGATTCCTCCAGGAAGCCAGGTGTGTATACAGCAAGCATCTTCCAATTTGCACAGTCTGCCTGTTGGGAAGCATAATGTGCTAGCAGCAGCGAGGTCCCTTCACTAATGTCCTGACTATGGTCCCTCCCTCCCTTCCTTCCTACACCATCAAAAGGCCTTAAAATATGCTGCCTGACCACTATTGCCCGGGGTTTCGGGCAGGAATGTTGCTCAGCCCTTTTTGGATAAGGCAGGAACCAGAGGTGGCACCTCCTGCAGGCACAGTGTTGTTCTCTGCCGCCTTCCCCTCCGTTTGCAAACAAGGCAGTGTAAGAAAGGGGAGGGTGGGGAATCCCACTACTCTTGCTTGCTTGGGAAGGGGGAGAAGACTTTTCAAAGACACGCCTTGCTGTCTTCTTTGGAAAAAGCAGCCTGAAGAGGTTCCTGATTTCCCAAGGTGATGATGACCCGGCAACCTACACCCCATCTCCCCACCTACAGAACGATGCCTTTTCCAGCCCAGGATGGCCACCAGAGAGCTTGGGATCCTCTTCATCTTGCCAGCAAGGCAGCTACCCTGTCGCCCAGGGCCTGCCATTCTGAACATGGGGCCCCCACCTTCCATGTCTTTTGTAGCATGCGGCCGTCTCAGTCAGGTGTTGAGGAAGCAATGTCTCTCCCGCCTGGTCCACCCCCCTCTGTTTTTCTTTTTTTGACTCTACTTGCAGAATCCTGAAGCAATACAATCACCCCAATATTGTCCGACTCATTGGTGTCTGCACCCAGAAGCACCCCATTTACATTGTCATGGAGCTAGTTCAGGGTAAGTCCGGTGCTTTAGTGCCCATCGCTCCTTTGGGAAAGCCTTGGGGGGGTGGTTCTTGATCTAAAAGTCCCCAAAAAGGTATATGTGCTGATGAGTGAGATCAGGTGGTTCTCTTTGTCCTGCTCTACCACTGGTAAAAAGTGGCAGGAGAGCTTCTTGCTAAATAGGGGCCCGTTTTTTGGTGTTCCTCTTCTCTCCCTTTCTCCAACCCACTCCCAGTTTGTCCAGGAGGGCTGTGTTTCATAAGCAGCTCTGAAAAGTCACTCTACAGTCCCTATCCTGCAGTGACTCATTCCCACCCCCCACCCCCGCAGTTTCTGGCCCTAAAGAAGGTAGCCATAGCTAGGTTGGTTCCAGCTCTCCCTCCCTCCTTCCTTCTCCAGGGGGTGATTTCTTGACCTTCCTACGGAATGAGGGATCTCGGCTCAAAGTCAAGGAGCTTCTGCAAATGATAGGAAATGCTGCTGCTGGGATGGAATATCTTGCAAGCAAGCGCTGCATCCACCGGTGAGTTGACCCTAGTCCAACCTGGCTTTCTTGCTGGGGCCCTTTTCCTTCAAGACCACAAGTTACGATTTGGCCCCACTCCTGGCCTTATTGCATGGGATCTGTCATCAATTAGTGTAGCGTCCATGTGGATCAGCTGGTCAGAAGTCCCTTCTCCGGCAAAGCAGCTGCCGTGCGCTTTTTTCTGCCTCTCCTTACTCTAGCAAGAATGGCAGCTGGTCGGCCAGCGTTCAAACCTGTAGCCATGGGCACTGGCCAGACTGCACTGGAGCCGGGGCGGGAGAGCAGGATGGTCTCAGCCATTGTGCCTTTGTGCCTCCTCCTGCCTCTTAGGGACCTCGCAGCCCGGAACTGTCTGGTGACAGAGAAGAACACGCTGAAGATCAGTGACTTTGGGATGTCACGAGAACAGGAAGATGGCATTTACTCCTCCACGGGTGGCATGAAGCAGATCCCTGTAAAGTGGACAGCGCCAGAGGCCCTGAACTACGGTAGCTACAGCCATCAGAATGGAGCAGACTTTCTGAGGCTCACATGCCCGAATGGATGCTCCAGGAGGCAGGCGAAGGGGAGAGGCCCAGAGGCTCTCATCCAACTGGGCTCCCAGGTTCAATGGCCAGTCAGCGGGAGATGGAGGTGTGGGGCCAGGTATGGCTCATATAGCACCTCATGCCCATTCTTCCTCCCTTCTAGGCAGGTACTCCTCAGAAAGCGATGTCTGGAGTTTTGGGATCCTGATGTGGGAAGCCTTCAGCCTCGGAGCTACTCCATATCCTAACATGAGCAACCAGCAGACCCGTGAGGCTGTGGAAAAGGGTAAGACCTGGCAGAATAGCTGTAGTGAGATGGGGCAACTGGATGAGTTCCATGTCTCAGGATTTCATCATCATAGGCATCCTTCAGTCTCGAAAGACTATGGTAACATGCTCTGAATTGAGGAGTGCCCCCTCCAGAGCATGAAGCCTGGGTAAAGTAATATGGAGGATAGGCTGTTACCCAAGCAGCAGATCCCCCCTCTCCACATTGCTGAAATGGTCCAATGGAAAGGCAAGAGCCAATACAACTGGTTCCAGCAACGTCGCAAGAGTTGGCAGAACAACAAGAATGCTATATCCATTCATGGAAAAGGCTTCAGGAGTTAACCTAGAGGCAAAATCCGGAGCTGGAGTCTCAGGATTTAAAAAGCTTTAAAAAGGTGCCGAGGGACGTGGTGGCGCTGCAGGCTAAACCGCAGAAGCCTGTGCTGCAGGGTCAGAAGACCAAGCAGTCGTAAGATCGAATCCACGCGACGGAGTGAGCGCCCGTCGCTTGTCCCAGCTCCCGCCAACCTAGCGGTTCGAAAGCATGCAAATGCAAGTAGATAAATAGGGACCACTTTGGTGGGAAGGTAACAGTGTTCCGTGGCTAAGTCACACTGGCCACGTGACCACGGAAGATTGTCTTTCGACAAAAAAACGCTGGCTCTATGGCTTGGAAACAGGGATGAGCACCGCCCCCTAGAGTCGAACACGACTGGACAAAAATTGTCAAGGGGAACCTTTACCTTTACCTTTAAAAAGGTGCCAGATTAAGACACTGCTCTTAGTACGGGCGGTTTATAAACTACTTGGAGGTAACTGGGAGCAGCTCAGTTTACAATGAAGGAGATGTCTTACAGGCGGAGAGGAAGACAGGTTTCCTAGACAATCCTTTACCTGCTTTGACATGCACTAACCTTCCTTTAACCAAGACTGCTAATCTTAGGATTCATTATGTCTCTTCTTTCTCACAAGTCCTTCCTGACCCTTTCTAGGAGCAGAGAGAGGAGGCCTCTCGCCTTTCTTCTTGAGGAGTGAGAGAGAGCGAGCAATTATGGCTCCCTTTCCTAATGTAATTTATTTTTCAAGTAAACATCAGCTTTTCCTTTTTCCCAATATCTATAATGTCCCATTGTAGTCTTGATTTTACTCTTGCCTATTTTGATTAGCAGATCATGGTGTCATTATACTGTTATAGGCATGTATTAAACACTATGCAAAAGATTATAGCTGATACTCTGTCTTAAAAAGCAAGAACATTCAGACCACAGATCATTCCCCTGCCTCACTCAAAACACAGACACCCTTCCATACAGTAGTCCTCTTGTACCTTAATGTCCACCCCAAGTCAACACAAAGCATGGGTTTTATGTATATACGATTCCTTGAAGAGAAAAAAAATTAAAAACCTCTGCTTACTTACAAAGTGCATAGAGCAGAAGACTTCCTTCTCTGAAACATAGATTAACTGGACTGAGTTAGCAAAGATGACAGAACTGTGGACAGATCTGTGAGAGAAATGTGCTGTTTGTAGATAATGACACTGTCAAAGCAGGTGTTTCATTCCAGCTCTTACAAGGAGTGGAGCGGCCAGATTGATTACATTGCAATGTTTGTATGGGGTGACAGTTAACAAGAAGAGTTGATCAGTGTTTTGAATGAAGAACAGGATATTGTTCTGTTGTCTAAATTTCCTTGCTTTTGGGAGTTTCGCTTGAACTATAACTTTTTGCTTCAAACCATATAATTTTTTTGCATCGGTGTCAAAAATGATGTGCATTTGTACAGTACTGAACAATTTAGGATTAAATAACATTTTTAAACATCATCATGTAAGTAATGGATGCTAACAGCAATGCAACACCTTTTATTTATTTATTTATTTATTTTATTCATATCCCTCCTATCTGGTCAATTACGACCACTCTAGGCAGCTTTACTATGCAAAGATCAACTCCTCCCAATCAGTTGTAGCTGGATCTCTATGCAAACTATATTACAAAGGGGAAGGAGCTGTCACTTGAGCATTTTTTCATTAAAAAAATATAGTTCTTGCACATGATATGGTATTACCCATATATATGCCATCTGTGGTGTTGGTATGGTGCTGGAAAATACACTCCAAGATCACAAAACAAACTACTTCTGTCCAAAGCGGGGGGTACTGGACTATAAAGCCACAATATTTACCCCATAATGGCTAATCTACATTGTCCAGGTAAGTGAAACATAGAAATACTGTAGAGACATTAAGCTTTCAGAGTGTCAGGATTCAGAAGCAGTACTGCAGCATCAGTGAATAATAGCCATAATAAAATAATAGTAAATCATTATGGGCCATCGAGTCAATGGCAACTTATGGTGACCCTTTCCAGGGTTTCCTAGGTACAAAGTACTCAGAAGCGGTTTACTGTTCCCTTTTTCTACAGCCAAAATAAGAAGGTTGCGAAAAGGGTGGGGTGGGGGCGGCCTGCAGCACTGGGGGAAGATAACACAGAATAACATCAGTATAACTCTACTGGCTGGTTAGATTATATTTCATCTGAGATTCAAGACCTTGCCTTATGCTCGGTGCAACGGAACACTTCTTTGACTCTCTCCCCTGCCGTGTCCCTTTGTGACCCAATTGTGTTTTTCCTCCTCAGGAACCCGTATGCATGCTCCAGCACAATGCCCTGAGGAAGTGTACCAGCTCATGCTGTGGTGCTGGGAATATGAGCCACAGAACCGGCCAAACTTCAGCACCCTACACCAACAGCTGGTTGCCATTCAGAAGAGGCAATAGGGAGGGCCCTGTTGCTGGGACATCAGAGTGACAGAAGGCAGAATGTTGTGTGCCCCACCAAAGCCAGGCCAGAGGCGCCTTCTCACCTGATTAGGACTGCATCTTCAAACTCCTCCATCTTCTTTGCTCTTGACTCATCTTTCACGTGGACGTTGTCCCTTACCATTCTTGGTACCCTGAAGAACCCCCCCTTATATGGCAGCCTAGACTTTGACTATATCAGTTCCTCTTTGCAGCTGAAAAACACTATAATAAAGGGTCAAATATGTGTTTAGGTATTGTCCCCTTTCTAAACCAGTCACCAAAATACAGACCTGGCTAAAAGCACAGTTGAATGGTTTCCTCATTAAAAAAAATAAAAAGAGTAAAGGAGACTGAGAGACCGAAGCTAAAGAAAGCTACAAAGATGAAGAAAGGTTAAGAAAGGAATCTGAGGACCAAGGCTCTAGAGATAGAACAACAGTAACAATTGTAATAAGTAAATATGATCATAAACTGTACCTTTAAAATGTGTGCAGCACAAGGAAAGGCTCTTGACAACTCTTATAACAACCTAGTATGCAGGCATGACTTTAAATTTACCAGAAGCAGCAAGTGACTGTGAGTTGAACATAGCTGTACAATCCAGAGTTGACAAAGATATAACAAATCTTGAAAGAAGGAAGAATTCAATAGAATTGGAGGGATATGTGTGTGTGCAAGCGCCCGTGTGCATGTATGTGTGTGCGCATGCATGTATATACTACTGACATCTAAAAGTCACAGAAATACATGATTGGGTGGGAGTAAGAAGACAAGCAAATTTTGAGTCAAGAATTCCTTTTAAAAGGGAAGAAAAATAGAATGAATATTGATCACCTTCTGATATTTACTTTTCTTTCTATTCATAACAATTTATAATATTTATATATTGTCCTTCCACAGTGCTACAAAGACAGTGCACAATTGTTCAAATAAGTTTGAAATGTTGAGTGCCTTTCATTAGTTTTAAAAGGATGGAACATTTTCAAATCAGAAAAGCAGCATTCCACATAGAAAACGATAACATTCATGAAAATCAAACCAGTGGTTACATACTGACATTTTCTGCTCTCACTAAAGCTGTCTAAACAGATATGATCCCGAACAAACTAATGCTTTGAATGAAGTATCTGTGGCATGCAAACTCAAGACTTACGAAATGTGTACCCACTTCAAGTGTTATCTAGCGCTACCTGAACTCCCAACCATCCTGACTTGGAGAAGTTTCCCAACTCTATGGCAGCAAAGCTGGCAAATCAAAATTAAGATTAAAGCAGAAACTAGCATATCTTATCTGCCTGCAGGGATGCGAATAACTCATTCTTGTAGGTCCAACTGAACCTCCTTCTGGCTCCCGTAGCTCCCCGAGATCTAGATGTCTTCAGGATAGGGTCTGAGTAGCAAGAGAGAAAAGCTTAAACTCTAATCCTAGCTAGATAGACATGTACCCAGTGGCCACATGGGAGGAGAGCAACTGTATGTCCGCCCCAGGAAAGAAAGCAAGGAAGGGATACTGATAGGAAGATCCTAAACATCTCAGTCTAACAATAGATGTGGGAGGGTCAATCCGTCAAAAGCCCAGAGGAGCCACCATGCCTTCTGTACTCTGAAATCTCCTTGTGGTAATTTCGGCTAGACAGATGCTAAGGTGTGATGTTCAGAGGACGGCAGGCTGAGAGTTATGATGAACAATACAATGTCTATGTGCATTTCTTGGGGGGGGGGGAAGAAATATCTTTAAGCTCCAATGTTCAATGGCCAAGGGAGGCACCGCATCCAGAGCCAACCTTCATCCATAGACTCCCGGTGACACCATTGGAAGATTAAACTATGGAAGATTAAACTACCCTGCCCAGTAGTTCAGGGGTGTATGAACTCAAGGTCCCACCGTGCGAAGGGATGAACAGTGGGTGGAGCTTTGACAGGACAAAAAAGGCAGCCGTGCCGTGGGTGCCGAAGAGGGTGAAGGAAGAGGGCTGTTGGCAGAAGCAGCCCCCCAAGATTGCAGCTGCCATGGATCACAAACAAGGTAGAAAGCAGAGAAAGAGGCAACAGGTATGTAGCAAAACCAGTGAGGGTTCATGACTGGGGCAGACCCTCTTCTCCATCAGCTTCCCCTCCGCCCCCATGTCCTCAGACAACATTCTGCCTCCTGCCTCAGCCTCAGGACTCAAACCTGAAGGGGATTCCTGAGCCTCAGGATCAGAGGAAACAGCCCCAGGACTCATGACTTGGAAATTCTAGTAGCTTGTTTGGAAATCCTCGTCCCCACCTGACCTCAGGGGCAAGGGGGGGATCCCACGGAGACCTCACTGGGCAAGGTATACCCAAGTGGGTCGGACACCAAGGTTCCTCAAAGACTGGGTAAAGGGTCTCCTCTGTTGGAAGCACTGCAAGCCATCTCTTGAAATCACGTTAGATTCTCGCCTTGCATTGGGGGTGGGAGGTAAATGTCCTCCAAAAAGGGCAGGCAGGTGGGAGGGCGACTTAGAAGAAGGGGGTGAGGCCGCCCTTGGCCCTGGGAGACGCCGAGACCACCGACAGTTTGGGAAGAGGCCAGACGGCAGTACCTGGGCAGTGCAAGGAGCTCACAGGATGGCCTTTCTCGTGCCAGGAAGAAAGGCAATAGGTGCAATCTCACAAACGGACCTCCGGGGCAGAACAGACAAAAGGTCATAACTAGACAAAACTGATTCTGTACAAGACATTCATTAACAAGTGAGGAAAGTGACAAATATTTCATCTGAATAGGTCTCTTCAGAAAAGGCTGTGTGTTCATCGAAGCCCGGATTTTTTTGGCGGGGAGGGGATTTAACGCTGGAGGCAACCTGGCAAGCTCCTGGGGTTGCCCTCCTACCAACTGGGTCTATGAAGGCCGCCGGAGGGCAGATTCTAAACCACCAGGCAGATCCTGGCTACGTGTTGTTTGTTTTTAAAAGCCAAGAAATCCTTCATTAACTTGTAAAGAGACAAAAGTTGAGTTACGGTATGTGTAAGCCACGGGTTCCCAAATGTTGGAAAGGCTGCTTTCCTGCTGGGACAGCCGTCGAAGGGCTGCTTAAAAGTGGCCGGTTTCCGAAACAAGACCATTTCTGAACCGTCAGATGACTGAATCGTATTCGCTTTTGCTGCTGCTGCTGCTGCTCTCGGTGCTTCTTTTTCCGATTGTCCCAAAGGGGGGAGCCTTGGAGGTGACTCCCGCCGCGCTGCTCGGAGGATGATGCGGGGGCCCCGGGTGCTTTTGGGGGAGGTCTCGGCCGGTTTGAACACGGGGGCGGGGTTGGGCATGCCGGTGGTGGTCGCAATTCCCCCCCCCCACTTTTTTGCGGGGGTG